GCGCTAACTTTTGCTAATAAACAGTGATAAATAACGATTGAGCGTAACATAACAACGCAATAACCTAGGGACAGCTGAACAAATTCGAAATCGACAAAAAATATATATTTTTCCAAAAATGTTACTTTTGAAAATTTCCGGTTTTGTTTATTTTCCAGCTAATCATCATTGTCAACTTAAGTTTAATAGTAACTCAATTTTAATAGTAACTATATATTTTTCCATGTCTTCTGATTACTATCTATTAAAGTTTCTATGTATTTGACGGAGCAAAATTTTTGTCACGAATAATCAAAAAATCATCATGGTTCTTTGAATTTTATTTTTGACTTCATAACATTATAGCTGTTACAGAGACGAATTCCAATGACCTTAATCCTTGTAAAAATGTAAAAATAATTGCGGACACTGGAAACTTTCCAGCCTACGTATGTATGTACACACTGTGCAACAGACGGGTCTGTTTGTCCTCTAAGACTCTAGAACTCGATGCTCGGAAGTCGTTTGTTTTGTTTACGTTAGAGCGCCGCCTGATCCAGTCTGTCGTCTATCTTTCATCGCACATGAATCATCAGTATTTAATGCGACTTCGACGATAGCGAGACGTGGTATGCAATTGTTATTCGAAAGTTGTGTAAAAAAAATAGTTAGTCTAGATAATAGTTAATCTTAATTAACATTCGAGCGTCTTGGTTTGGGTCAATTTGAACGGCGAGTATAAATATTTCAATGAACGAATTTTGTCTAAGAATAGCTTGATAATTTCCTTTTAAAGAATTTACATTAATCTGCATAATTTGCTGGGTCATGCCTGAAATTATCATAATTTTTAAACAATCTTTTAAAAACATGTTGGTCTTCCAATTTGTCTGCCGGTGGACGAAGTGTTAAAAAGCACGTTGAACAAAATTAATAAATGAAATTAGAAACGATCCTAATCGTACTCATACATACATGTTATATTGTGGAAAAATAATTATTTTCAGCGCGACGCGATTTGTAATTATTTGCCGCGCGAATTCTGTCAATAATCGGAAAAATAATCGTGGCAACAAAAGAGAAAGAATGAAATTCGCCGCTGGGGCTCCCTCGGCGTGAACGTTTCAGAATAATTAACGAAGAAACGACACTTCCACTTGTCTCCGGTCTCTCGGATAATAAATTGCCCGTGTCAAAGAAATTTCACTTTGCATAAAGATCGTCGGTCCAATAATTAGCCGGCTAGAAAAATAACGCCCAGCAGCAGCAGCGGGCACTGATAACAGTGATTAAACATGGCCAGGCCATTATCTCGATGGAAAATGGTTTGTTTAATAGGAAAAGCGGCGGACTGGCCGTTCCCGGCTAGGAAAATAAATTCGTTCACGCGTCAGATATTCCGTCCTAGAAAGGACCGTCGAGCACTTTGCGCGGTAAACCGCGCCGAAACTGGGTCAAACCGGGTCAAACCCGATCGATGCAACGTATCAAACCGGATTAGGTAGGGCTAAAAGCAAACTATGCGAAACCGTTTAATTTAGACGACGTTATTTCCATGCCGGATCGATTGGAGCCGATCGAAATATCAAGAGCATGGAAACCGAGTGTTAGGGATTTGTATCGGACACGTGACTATCGACGATATTACTGATAGCAATATTCCAGCATTTTATTAAAAATTAAAACATTTACTCGAATCTCTATATCAATTTCACGCACAATATTTTGACATACATAAGTAACAATTTTAATAGATACTCATCATAATAGAAATAACTTCAAAATATTATCGATAAGTATCCGTAGTACTATCAATAATATCATTAAGACAACGTCGACATCGTTAAGACAAATAGAAAAAGACGAGGATAGACCGAAACGTGCTAATTGCAACGAGATCATTTTTAATTTATTCGTTTTAGTTGGATTTTATTGAAAATTGTATGTCGTGTGAATTCACGTGTGAAGTTTTGTTTCTTCTATGTAGTCATTTGCTTTCATCTCTAGTTTTTGATAATAGAAGAATCAAATTTTATTTCGTTTTGGAATAAATATTCATATTTATTAGATTATGTATAAAATCAATATTATCGATAGCCGATAGTAATTCCTAAGGCGATTTCAAGAAACTTTTTCCTTAGCAAAAATGTTCTCCGCGGCTTAGTTAACGAGTTATAAACGAAAAACGCGGACCAATTAGAGCGTGAGCACGACTGGCGCCCCGCCCCGGCGCGGTCCGCGCGCTAGCGAGCGCGACACGGTATTGGCCGCGAGAGCGTGGCGCCAGCCGTACTCGCTCTCTGATTGGCCTGTGTTTTCCGCTAATAACTCGTTAACGAAGCCACGGACAACATTTTCGCAAAGGAAAAAATTCCTTCAAATCACCTCGGGCATCACCTCGCCACTTCTTTTCGGGTGTAACGGGAATTTCCGGATATCCTGAATATATTTGTATACTTTCGGAGACGAAGCAGATGCAAACGCATACACGGCGTGCATCGGTGCACGCTTGCGAAATCGTCGTTCCGGCGGGTGACATTTTTCATGCCGAGCTGATTCCGTATTAAACGCTTCTTGCGTCTTAAATGCACCGTGCACGGTCTTTCTCCTGCCGAAACGAAGTATTACAATGTGCACGAGACGCACTGCGAGAAAGTCAAACGACGTCGCAATGCATTCTGCCTCGGGATCGCTTCTTCCTCAAGCCAGACACTGTTCACACCGAACAATGCCGAACGATTCTCTCTCTCTCTCTCTCTCTCTCTCTCTCTCTCTCTCTCTCTCTCCCACCCCCTCTCTCTCTCTGTCTCTTCTTTCTCTTTCGTCACCGCGACTCTCTCTTTCTCCGATGCGATAGCGAAACAGCTGGTCGTGCTTCAGGAATTATTCGTTCGATCGAATTTGCTTCCTGCGATTACGACTGCGCTTGACGATGCTTCCTGATGGTCAGTGAATGTCGTTCGTCGCCACCGATTTCCAGGTACATAATACACTGAACGTTACACAGTGATTCGATTTGTTTTGTTACGTACGGAGAGTAGTTTCGTTTGTTTTGGAACTTCTCCAAAATCTCTCTCCGGAAAATCTATTACGCTGCACTGTTTGTTTGTACAGGGTGTTCGTTTTATATCGAGCACACGTCGTGCCTGTGTTACGCCTGATATTGGAAGCAAATATGTACGTGAAAAATTGCATGATTTCATGGGACGAATGTAAAGGAAATTTTAAATCGAATTTTCGAAGTTCGCTGTCGATTTTTTAATAGCATTCGAAGTCACCTAACAGTCATGATATTATACATGGATGAATTCGTTTCTTTTTTTTTTGCGAGCTACAATATTGCATCCACGAAAATGCATTGTTTAAGAAATCGACAATGACCTTGAAAAAATGTTGTTCTACCTTCATATCCGTCCTATAAAATCATACAATTCTTTACCTACACATTTTGTCTAACATCAGTCATAACAGAGATATTACGTGTGCTCAAAATCAAATGAACACCCTGCAGAGAAAGAATGACTGCGATCCAATTAGATGCAGCCGGAACAAAACATGATTGCGAGGTGATTTCATGTATCTTTTTCAATTTGTGAAAATATTAATTGCGACTTAATTGACGAGTTATCAGCGAAAAAGGTAGACCAATCAGACAGAGGAGATTTGGATAAAAATTGACCAACTTCGATTGACAATAACTCCGCGAAAAATCATCGTAGGATAATGATCTTCTTTTCAAATTAAAGCTTGAGGCCTCTATTTCAAGATAATGTTCCTCGATTTTAAGTTCGATGCACTCTCACCGCTTCATCCCTTTAAATGTGACACCATGTTTATCGTAATAGAAATTGCAGAATTCGTCGAAATGCACGGACTTGGTCAATTTTTGTTCGGAGATGCTACTCGCAGTCAAATGAAAATTGTTCCTTCCCCTTTGATCTAAAAAAAAAAGAAGAACGTGGCTGCGATTTTGATTCACTAAGTTACAGCACCTTAAAGTAACCCTTGTCAATCTCACGCATAAATCATCTGGAAAGGAGTTTTTAACCCCTTACTTCCCGATTTTGAGCAACTTTTGGGATACCCTGTAGTGATAATTCCTGTCACAAACACCCTCCTAAAAACGGTCGAACCTAAAAATCGTCGAGCCGGTGGACGTTCTCACAAAACTCTCCGTCGATCTCCTCTCGATCCGGCAGAGTGTAGATCCAAGATTGTTTCGCGCGAAGGCAGAGATAATGCGACGCTCGTTGCTCCGTGATTTTGAAACGCGTCCGTTCGTAGAAAGCACGCGGCGCGGCGTCACGCGACGTGGACTGTCCTAGGATCGCGTCTCGGTCCCGGCGATGCTCGGAATAATAAATCATTCCCACAACCCCGGCGCCGTTCGCTTTTCCGCTGCTTTCGTACCCGAGATGCTGGCCGTTCGATTACGGGACGATAACCGCGTGAACTACCGCCGTGTGCCGGAAGGGGAGGGACCGCCGCCTTCAAAACTTTGGCCTAATCCCACTGTAATGACTCCATTATCTTTCATCGGGTCGGGGAAACTCGGATCGCCGTATCTCGAACCGAGTTCATCCACTGTCCACAGACTCGAGAACAATCAGCCCTTTGATCCGAGCCTATCTGTCCTCCTCGTTATTGCTTCCAGTTGTTGATAAACTGCGATCGCGATGCTGACATTAAAATAACTGCGGACTTGTGCGTCGATGAGAACCATCTTTCTATTTTATCTATTCTATTGGGTTGGCAACTAAGTAATTGCCGATTTGTTCGATGAAATACAAAATTTTTTTTACTTGGAACGAAGTTTAATCTGTAATGTATTTTCCATTTTGTTCGACGACCTTTTGCCATCTCTCTGACAACTTGAAAATTCCACGCTCGTAGAAAGTCTGATCCTTTTCGGCCGAAAACTGAGTTAAGTGAGATTTTACAGCGTCATCATCGTTAAAAGTTTTACCACGAAGGGAGTTGTCCAGGGATCGAAATAAGTGGTAATCCGATGGCGCGAGATCAGGGCTATATGGTGGGTGTAACATCAATTCCCAACCAATATCCATCAATTTTTGCCGAGTGGACAAAGACGTGTGCGGCCTAGCATTGTCCTGCTGGAAAATGACACCTTTACGATTGACCAATTCTGGTCGCTTTTCCTTGACCGCTGCATTCAATTTGTCCAGTTGCTAACATTCACGGATAATAAAAAATAACATAATAATAATAATAATAATTTTATAATATAACATTTACGGATATCGTAAAAATGGGAGTGAGAGACATCTATAACTGAAATCGGCAATTACTTAGTTGCCAACCCAATATATTATCAAAACCTCCTCGTTGAGACTGAAGCTAATCCTTTTATTGGTTTCAATATTAACACTATGCCGTCCGGTGGCACCACGCTGGTGCCATGCAAAAACTATCTGTTGTATGCCGGTGGTACCACTTTGGTGCCATTTTAGAAAACTGAAATAACATTTGAACTATATTTCTTGGGTGTTAAAAAAGTCAGCAAGCTAACTATAGCATTGTGGTCGCTTTTCCTTGACCGCTGCATTCAATTTGTCCAGTTGCTAACATTCACGGATAATAAAAAATAACATAATAATAATAATAATAATTTTATAATATAACATTTACGGATATCGTAAAAATGGGAGTGAGAGACACCTATAACTGAAATCGGCAATTACTTAGTTGCCAACCCAATATTTGATTCTTATTTCATTCTACAGTGTGCCCCAAAATTATGTTACTTCCGGGAAATGAGGGGATCCTGAGGTCATTTGATGAAACTTCTTTCTTTACGAAAATGTTGTCCATGGCTTCGTTAACGAATTATTAGCGAAAAACGCGGGCCAATCAGAGAGCGAGTACGGCTGGCGCGCTACGCGTGCCAGTGAGGGCGACACTGCATTGGCCGCGTGGACGTGGCGCCAGCCGCACTCGCTCTCTGATTGGCCTGTGTTTTCCGCTAATAACTCGTTAACGAAGCCATGGACAACATTTTCACAAAGGAAAAAGTTTCTTCGAATGACCTCGGGAACCCCTTGTTTCCCGGAAATAATATAATTTTAGGACACTCTGTGTACACGCTGCTTTTTCGATCATCTTCTGTCCACTGTTTTGTAGACCAAATTAAACGCTCCTCTGTGCATCGTTTCCGAATAACAGCAAAATTCCGTGTACAGCAATGTACACACGCGACGGCGGTCGAGTCATAAATAACTTCCGATGCGGTTAGGTAGAATCTATTGTTCGTATCCACCCGCTAGGAAACACCGGGACAAACAAGTTTTTGCTTTCACCAAATAGATAAGAGGTCGATATAAATAAAATAAAATAAATAAATAAATAAAAATAAAATATACGTCTAATACAAAAACAGAAGTTATTTATGACTCGACCTAATAATCGGCAGTTTTCGGCCGAGCATGCGAAAAAACAAAAATTAGAACAGCAAGAACGATGCAATGTAACGTTGTTAATTACTCTAATTTCGTTCGCAGCGAGAAACGAAATCCAGAAGACAGATCCGAGGGTCGCGTTCGCGTAGGGCGTGAACGTAACGAGCGTTTTCCTATCGCGAATTAGCGCGCGATCATTGGTGGCACACGAAATATGTTATCAGGCCGCGTAATCAGAAAGCAAGACGACTCGTTACGAAATCCGAAATCACGGCGATACCGGGCTGCGTCGAATTATACACCTCTCGCAATAAAACGTAACAACGATCGACGCGCGATCGCAGTCCGTCCGGCGTGTTACGAATGTATTCTGTTCGATAACGCTCGGTGCCGATGACCTCGCTCCGGATTCCGATTTACGAGCTGCTTCGCGATTCCGACGGAATTATCGGTGCTTCGAAATTTCCTCCTGCTCATTCAAGCCAGGAAATTCTTCTTGCACGTTGCGTGACGCAACTCCGACATTTCTCTTACGATTTTGCTGTCTCGAATTTCATTTGTGCACGGTGAATAAAATTTGTCCGAAATCCTTTCAGGTGTTATCTCTCAGACTGGTTCCATTTGATGGAAAGATAATCCCTACAAAAGGGATTTTCATTATCCTCAATCGGATAATGGAAACGGCGGTCAACGAAGATTCGAAGTTTCGAGTTTTTGCGATCTCTTGGAGTTTTCAACGAATTTCTCTAAACGGGTACGTTTTATCAAAATTTTGTTACAATAAAATAATAATAATTGAAAGATAATGTGGTTCTCTAAGAGTTTGTTCTATAACATTTTTTTCATACTCCTAACCGTTGTCGAGATAATAACCATGCCAGCAGGTGGCTACCGCTCCCGCTTCTACCTGATTCGTTATCGACCCGTACAGGATTTTTATTATAATACTTTAAATCTAAGTATCTCGCAAAAATACCTATAATACTTCAAAAAAAATTGTAAGTATTCAAGTGTTTACTTTTAAATATTTTTTTTATTTTTGATTCCTCAATATTTTTCATACTTTTTATACGTTTTATACATGATCGATAAAAATGGCTAATATTCTTATATTCTGTACAATTTATTAAAATTATTAAAAAAGGAAAGACAATGTTGTCTGCCTTACGTTTCTTCCAATTAACGCGGATTTTTATTTCAGATAATAAACCGCCGCGCAATTGTAAAAAGCATAAATAATGAATGTTAAAAATTGTCTCGTCTCGCCTCAGGTCTTCATTCTCAAATAATAAATACTTAACAACAAATGCAACAAACCTGTCAATTTTAAAGTACCGCTCACCAAAAATTACGTTTTCCGTTACACCCGGTACAGAACGATAATTTCTTGGAAAAAAGCTGGACTTAAATTACGAGAAAATATTTTTTCACATAAATTTGAGACTTCGCTTAAAATACAATTATTTTTAATTATTCGTGTTATATTAATACGAGACGGAGTAAGTCAAAAGGATCGATTTAATAATCGGAGATCTCGGTGTCGGAAAGTCAAAAGAGAATTGTCCGACAAGACTCTCTGTGGAAACGCGCGAGGAACGAAATTTCCTGGTGAAAAATCGCGAGAGGGAGATTCCAGTTTTTCGCAGCTAGACCAGGAAGTCGGCTAAAGTCGCGGAAGAAGCGTGACAACGTGCCGGTCGCGAGAATCATAAGGAAAACGTGGAACGCGGTCTGGAGTGGCCGAGATAAAAGAGACTGAAGACGGTAACCGTGAAAAATGCAGTTATTATTCAAGAGAACTGGCGCCGCGGAATATTGAAGAACACAAAGGGTGGAGAGAAGCTGGAGTGAGAGAGAGAGAAAGGTCTGCAAAGGGCAAGGGAGCCCGTTGAACGTGTACAGGGTGTCCAAGAATTCCCGTTGTACTCGGAAAGTGACGATCCCCGAGGTGATTCCTGAGGCGATTTCAAATCACTTTTTCCTTAGCGAAAATCTTCTCTGCGGCTTCGTTAACGAGTTATCAACGGAAAACGCAGGCCAATCAGAGAGCGAGTACTTCAGACGCCACGCCCTCGCGGTCATTGACACTGCCGTAAGACGGCTGACGCGATTCGGCGCGACGCTGTATCGGCCGTGAGGGGCGTGGCACCAGCCGTACTTGCTCTCTGATTGGCCCGTGTTTTTCGCTAATAACTCGTCAACGAAGCCGCGCAGAAAATTTTCGCTAAGGAAAAAGTTCCTTCAAATCGCCTCAGGAATCGCTACTTCCAAACTGTTTGAGGCCTTGTGGGACATACTGTATATTAATACTTTGCACTCAAGTGGTGACTCTGATGCATCAATTGTTATATCACATTCCAAAATAATTTGTACATTATCAAACTTGTTTATATTTTAAAAAAAACGGTTGGAAGCGTAACTCGATGAGACTAAAGAGAGAGAGAGATGACTTAGTGAGTCATTAGATTCATTAGACTAAACAATATCTTTGGGACATCCTGTATACAAATTTACAATGAACATTTTCGCCGAGGAAAACGTGATTTCACCTAAGTAATAATCTTGTTACGGTTTACGGGAGTTTTGATATAACGGGAGTTTTCGGACACCCTGTATGTCTGGCCGGGTTAGGTGCCATGCCGTCTGTCTACCGTACGAGCCGAAACAATAGCGAGTGCACTTTTGCCCGACTGCCATGCCGGCTGAATGCGCGCCAAGACGAGCCATTGCCAACATTAATTTGACAATAATTACTTCCGACCAGTTTGAAACGCTGCGAGGGACCACCGCCGCCCGTTTCCCAGTTTGTCACGGATATCAAGGATACGCGAATTTTTACACGTTTTTCCGCTTTGCGAGAGCCCCAATTATCCGTAGACGAGACCGGTAAAAAGAGCTTTCCTGAGAATAATGCTTTCAAACCAGAAATAGTGAGGAATTTAATATTTAGGGTAGTGGAGCCAGTTACTGTGGTGGGACTGATTTCTGTCCCTTTTCTTTGTTTCCGGGCATAATTTAACTTATATTTATCGAAAGAAAACATGTTAAATTTTTTTGTTCACTATTTCACTGTTTCAATGTTTCACTATTTCACTACTTTACTGTTTCATTTTTTCGCTATTTCAATATTTTACTATTTCTCTGTTTTACTGTTTTATCAACTTACTATTTTACCAATTTAATATTTTATCAAATGATTATTTACCTATTTACTATTTTATCAATTTATTTGCTTCTTACCAATTTACTGTTTTATCAATCTACTACTTTAGGAAATTACTATTTTATCAATTTATATATTTTTTTACCAATTTACTGTTTTATTAATTTATTATTTCACAAATTGGTAAAAATGAAATAAATTGAAAAAATAATAAGGTTAAACAGTAAATTGAGGAAATAGTAAATCGGTTAAATGATAGGTTGGTAAAATAGTACATTGTTAAACTAGTAAATTGGTGTAATAGTATTGTTGTAAAATAGTAAAGTGGTAATACAGTAAATTAGTAAAGTAATAATATGCTAAATAATTTGCTAAAATATATATATATATATATATATATATATATATAGTACATAGTATAGTAAAATAGTATATAACTGTAATATGTATAAAGCAAAAATTAGAAAATTAAAAAATATTGTATTCGGTTTGCAGATTTTCGTGCGCTTTTGGCATCTGCTGATCCTCAGAAAGTGATAGAATAAAAGCATGACGAATCACCGTCTGGACTGTTCGCAAGGAGAAATGGCAAGTGATGGCCAGACACATGAAACCATTATACACTACCGGTACGACAACTACAGCGAAGCGGTCTTGGCAGAGAACCAAGCTAAAATAAAACTTTCGTCTGACAAGCGTACTGTATAAGTAATCGTTTCCTATTTCCACTGCTGTACGTTAATTTTTAAGTGACACTTGTCGACCCAGCTGTAATCATTTTAGATCTATAACTTCTTGGTAACTAGATTCAGAACTCGGTAACAAGGTGTACGAAATTGACAAACTAAATGAACATTTTTAGGCGCGATGTAGTCCATAAATTTCTAGCTAATGTTCTCCGATGCAGAGGTGTGCAACAGCTTCTAATCGAATAAACCATTCCTGGTTAATTACACTCGGTATCTGTTATTCATTAGGCATAAAGAACGTTTCAGATTTCTAACTCGTCGAAACANAATGAAACAGTGAAATAATGAAATAATTGAATAATAAAATGGTAGAATCACAAAATAATAATACAATAAATAATTGTCACGTTATTATTTTCATTTCTCCCCGGGCCATTAAACCGAGGCTTTCCCATCTGTGTAAGTAATTACACTACCGACTGTTATCTACGAAGCAAAACGATAGTCCAGTTTCTAAAACGACGAAGCATCTGAGCTGCCGATTGAGGGAATTTTCACTTGTTTTCTGAACCGTGACCGATAAGATCATTTGCAAGTTCCGTGGAATAATTCGATCAACGTCCGACCGACCGGATGAAAAAGGGAAACTGCGCATTCGATTTTCCGGAATCGCAGGAGCATTGGCACCGGTCGCGGGCTACTGGACCCAACGTACAGCAATAACTATCGCGGTCTATACGCGACCGACGGGATAAACGCGCGGTGGTACAACTCGAAAGCGCGGGACTACCAGTTTCGCAGCATTAATTAACCGACAAACTGGTTGCGCCGTGTTCAGGACTAGATTCCGTAGGTGAGGTTATCGTAAGGTTCCTAGCGCGGCTACAACGAGTCATTCGCAATGATACAAAGCAAATCGACGCAAGAACAACCCCACGGTCCTCTCTCCGACGTTTTGCCTGCGAAACGAGTTTTAATTTGACTACATTGACGCCGAGAGTGTTGCTCCATTAGCGTTCATGCTCGTCGTTCGATGCTGAAACAAGTTTCGAGACCACGGGACCGAATAACAACACGTTGCGTGTCGTCTTCTATTATTCGTGGAGCCTTTAGAATTTCGGAACGTAATGGAGAATATTTATTTATCTGTTTGTTCATTAGATTTGTATGGGAAATTACCCAATTTTCATTGTGTGCAATTTTAATGAGTCGCAAATGGTGTAACAATAATAATTTTTCAGTAATTTTCGTCCCATTTTGATCATTATAGCATCAACGGATAGCTGAGGTTTTTCCGATTAAAACGAGTCCGAACACGACGGAAAACGGATTACTTTTTATCGAAAACCTTATACCGGGTGAATCGCGTAATACGCACATCCGAAATAACTTGCGAACTCCGAAGCCTCATTTACATACGAAAACCTCTTCTCTCCTTTGAAACCATGTATTTCACAATTTTTAATAAGAAGCGTAATTTAAAAGTTCCAGCGGTTATGAAAATTATGCGACTCGCTCGGTATAATGATGAGCCCTTCGATGAAACGTGGTCCAATTTCTATCGTGTTTGGACTCATTTTAATGGGCAGAATCTCAGCTATCCAGCGATGTTATAATTCTAAAGCTAAGATGACAATTGCCGGAAGTGAAATTGTAAAAAAATTCTCTGCTCACTCTAAACGATTCGATAAAATCAAAATTCGAAGTACATTTGTTTACGTTATTTTTGCACGATTCGTGGATAAGTACCCGTAACTTTATCACCCTGTTGAAATGATCTCCAAATGTTCTTAAATCGTTTGGAAAAACTGTGCCGAATTTTCAGGGATGATTTTACCGCTCTAAAGTCCATCGCTAACAAAGGAAACCGTCTATAAGATCAGATCAGAATTTTATATTATATTATATATTATATATTTATATAATAAATATATATAATATAATATATAATAATACATAATAATAATATATAATAATATATAATAATAATATATAATAATATATAATAAATATATATATTTATTTATATTTATAAGATCAGAATTTACGTTATTTCTGATCCGAACCCTATTTCCCAAGACCGGCGGTCTAAATTATGCGCAGAAATCGCGCGTAATCGATGCAAATAAATGAATGGATAAATGCAAGCAGATTGGTTCAAGAGTACCAAGTGCGAACGCAGACTCGACAAACAAGTCGGAAAAGGTTATTACGAAATTTGTTTGCCAGATCTCGCATTCCCCGTTGCGGATCGACGAAGCTTAGATCGCGTACGAATCTCCATGGTTTTTCCTCGTCTTTTTATACATGTTGCCACGTTGTTGCTCGTTTTCAAGTGCGTGCTCTCGACGAGCGCGTACCGCCGGCCGGCTGGGCACGCGTTTACGCCCGATTCGATTTGTTTCTGTTTGATCCGCCGCGAATCGAACCGCGAAAGCCGCGAGCACGGCCAACCGTCGAATCCGCCGACTTTCTATAATAGCATCGTAACGATATCGTGTGCCAACGCAAATAGCGACGTCGTAAAACTCTGTAACAGTGTACAGATTACGGTCCCGCGAGCGATCGGGAATTTCTTTCGGATAGAAAACGGAGATCGAGAGACGGCGATCCGCGTCTGGTGAAAATGATCGAAAATTCGAGGCGACGCACGTGGTGGTCCGAAAAGCGGTACTTCGTGGCCAAAATTCAGTTTCTCGACTTTTTTATATTTGAACTTTGTTTTCCTGTTTTAGTCGCAACTTCTTGGAACTTCGAGATCCAAAATATTAACTTCGGGTCCATTTGGACCCAGAGTTACAAATATTCCATTTAAATTTTAATTTTGTTACAGTTACGAGTAATTATAAAATCATTGATATTGAAACTAATATACAAATGAAAATTAATGCTAAAGATTTGAATGGATCTAGCCGTGGTGGCTGCCATAATTATTATTTTATTATTATATATATATATAAAATACCGAATTTGTATATTTATGTATATTTTTTTATATGTTGTAATCGG